TACTCTCTTCTGTTGTGTTTGTTTCCGAGACAGCTGCTATGTAGCCCAGGCTGGCTTTGAATGCACAGCTGTATGCCTTCATGCCCTGCTTTAATTTATCTTTACTTCTTAAACTGACTTTCTCAACCAACTATAACCATCATTTTTTCACACTAATGAAGTATATATTTCCTCACTTATATAATGTGTGTAATTATATGATACTTCAATCAGATTAAGCATAGTCATCTCTTCAGATATTTACCATTTCTTTATGACAAAACTAGTCAAAATCATTTCTCTTAGCTCTCTGAAATCTACAGTAGAGAATATCTGTAATCAGGCCGGCAGCATAGCACACCAGAACTTCTTACCTTTCCCTGGCTCCCTCCTCGTTGTCCTGATTGCTTGACTTTAAGGAGACTGGCAGATCTACTCCCTTTCTATCTCATTGTTCTCTCTGCTTTACATTGCATACGTACATTCCACAGAGCACAACTTAGTACATTCTTAGCAATTATTATTGGAGCTCTGCCATTGACTTTAGAAGCACTCTTCTTTGACTCTGAATTTTCTGTCTTGTCCCCATCATCATTCTTCTGAAGCTCCCTCCGTTCTGCGTCTGTGTAGCTGTGGGCATTGCTTAGTCTCACTGCTAACCGCTCAGAACCTATGTGGTGCCGCATGGGTCAAGTAGACAACTTTATTGGTGTTATTTATACTACATTTATTGTCTGGTTATATTGCTCTTATACTAAGCTGTAGTCTATTTCCCATAATTAAAATAGAAATGAAATAACAGAACTAGGAAAGGATAAATTAGCAGTTTATTAATTGATGTTAGTGGTATAAGCACAATGAAAGCTTATTTTGGACATATTAGTTAGTTTATGTTTGGGTAATAGCCAAGTGTAATTTTTTTTTTTTTTTTTGGTTTTTCGAGACAGGGTTTCTCTGTGTAGCTTTGCGCCTTTCCTGGGACTCACTTGGTAGCCCAGGCTGGCCTCGAACTCACAGAGATCCGCCTGGCTCTGCCTCCCGAGTGCTGGGATTAAAGGCGTGCGCCACCACCGCCCAGCCCAAGTGTAATTTTTAAAACTGCTTTGTGTTACTAAAGATTTTAGTTAGTACACATTTAGTTCATATATGTTAATTGATACTATTCTACTTCTGATTACAGGTTGAAAATAATGTCAGTAGAGATCCCTCTAGGCTTTATAAACCTACCAAAGGCTGGGAAGAACGAACCAAAAAGATAGGCCCATCAGGCTCTGGGCCACTTCTCCATATCCCACACAGGTGAGAAGGTAGTAGAAGGTGATCATTTATAAAGATTTATAATGTTTTTACCTCATGCAGTGTTATGCATGTTTGTGTTTTATGCAGTTTCCGAATATAATTTTTCATATAGCAGATTGACAAAGCATATCTATATTTTTAACTTTTTATTATATATGTATTGTGTGTTGTGTGTGTATGGTCATGTGAGTGCTATGGTTGCTGTGGTGTACATGTGACTGTCAGAGGATAACTTGGGTTTGTGTCTCTTTTTCCATCATATGGTCTCAGAAATCCAACTTGAGCTGTCAGGCTTGGTTGGAAGTACCTTAACCCACTTTACCCACAGAGCTATCTCACCAACACTGTATATACTTTAAGTTGCCATTACAGACTTGAAAAAAGTACTGTCAGTCTACGGTGTATTTCCTCAGCTGCCCATTTCCTTAAAGGGGCACCTCTCTTTTAATCAGTTGTTTTTTATTGTTTTGGTCTTTATGGTGATATTTTATTTGTACTGAAATGTGATTTTATTTGTATGTTAATAAAGTTGCCTGGGGGTCAGAGCTAATAGCAAGCCATAGCAGAGCTGGGTGTTTGTGGCACACACCTTTAATCCCAGCACTTGGTAGGCAGAGCTAGGTAGATCTCTGTGTTGTCAAGGATACAGCCAGCATTGGAGACACACGCCTTTAATCTCAATACCAACCATAGAAGACCTGGAGGTCTGTACAGACAGGCAGTGACAAGGCTGTCATGTGGTTGGGTTTACAACCAATGAGAAGGCAGAACAGAAAATATATATAAAGACAAACACACAGGAAGTAGGTCTCTCTTGGCTAAAGAGGATCACTGAAGCAGGAAGGGTAAGGCTCTTAGCTCTGACCTCTTGGGCTTTTATCTTTACATTGGCTCTGTGTTTATTTAATAAGACGGTTACTTCTACAGATCTTCCTGCATATTTATAATAATTGCTTTTCTCTTTTTCTCTTTAGGGCCATTCCAAGCTGGCGACAAGGAATCTAGAGGGACTATGAGATAATGCAATTGCTAGTCACTTGATGAATGTCAGGAGAAGGTGGTTAACTTTGCTATTTAAATGTTACTAGCTTAGTCAGGTTGATTATTGTGCTGTGTATGAATTGAGAAGTTTTAAGTGTCATGGAGCATTGTCAATATTTTCATTCTACAAAGATGGTGTATGTTGGCCTAGTGTTGATATGAATGTTATTTAAATAGGTTTGTGTTACGAACATTATTCCATTTAAATACTCAAAATATTTCAAAAATAGTTTGTTTTTATCATGGCTTAGTAAAATAATTTGGGAGAATCAGTCTTTTTTAAGCCAAAATTTTGTAACTTTTATAACTCGGACGTAACTAAGCTTGAGTAACAAAAGCATAAGTGTCTTTTTAAAAGAGTTGTTCAATAACAGTACATTTTCTAAGTTTAACAAAATGGTAATTTGTCAGTTGTTTCGTTTTTGTGTAATGAATATTTTGTATTTGATTAAAGCATGCTTTATTTTATATGGAGACTATTTTAAATAACCTTCCTTGCTACATGTACCTTCTTCATATAGTATGATGTCATCCTCCAGGTTTCCTGCAACTATGTCAAATTTCCTTTCAGGCTTTCTGGAGCCACAGATTTATAAAATCTTTGTATCTTACTGGGTGGTACAGTTTTCTTCTGCTTGCCCCAAATTAAGAACAGTCTTTCTTCTGAAATTAGCTGGTTTTAAACAGTACACTGATGGTTTTAGACTGAAAAGTAGAAAATTTTTTAACACAATTCAGTTTTTTATATTAAAACATTTTATGTCATTCTAACTTTGATTAGGTTTCAACTTATAAGGAAAGTACTATATACATAAAATATAAGAAATTTACTTCTTACAATTTTATCTTCAAATGCCTTTAATTATTTTATATATATGTATATATATACATATATATATATATATATATATATATATATATATATATATATATATATAATTTGAGACATACAGACTGAATATCCCAGAAATTAGTAGGATTAGTGATCTAAATCTTTCCTTACATAACAGTTAATAGTTACATAAGTATATAGATTCAAAGTATATGGATTTCAAATTTTAGAAAGTAAATTCTAATTGTATAGTTAATGGTGCACAATGAGAAAGTATCCTTAACTGGAAATGCCCATTTTATTTGCTTGTTTTCCATGACTCTTTTAAATCTGGAACTATTGAGAAATATACAAGATGAAGGAATTCAACAAAACTGAACTGCTACCTAAGATACAGGAAAGTAAACCTAGTATTGCACAAAAATGCACCTTTCAGCTGCCTGCATCAAAGCTAAGCATGCTGGTTGATGGATTCTTACTGTTTTAGTCTTCATTATCTTTGGTACCAGTGTTGGTATTGAACCTAGAGCCCTAAGCATGCCAACTACATGCTCCACATGCTTTACTTCCAGCCTTGTTTGTAATTTATTTCGTGTGTGTGTGTGTGTGTGTGTGTGTGTGTGTGTGTGTGTGTGTGTGTGTGTAAGCATGATATGTTGGGGGCAGACGTACATATGCCACAATATGCTGGGGTATATCAAAGGACACATTGGTGGAGTTGGTTCTCTCCTCCCACCTTTATGTTGATCCCTAGGATTGAATTCAGGTTTCCAAACTTGTGCAACTGCTGAGTACCAAAAATTACCCACGGTGCTTTGGAGTTGAGTGTTAAATATATATAGTGTTAAATATATAACACTAACCCACAGGGCACATTTTGTAAGAAACTCATTTTCTACAGTTATAAGTACATCCAAATTTCTACTTACTTTGTTTTTAAAGAATCTTGTTAGGAGCCGGGCGGGTGGTGGCGCACGCCTTTAATCCCAGCACTTGGGAGGCAGAGGCTGGCGGATCTCTGTGAGTTCGAGGCCAGCCTGGGCTACCAAGTGAGTTCCAGGAAAGGTGCAAAGTTACACAGAGAAACCCTGTCTCGAAAAACCAAAAAAAAAAAAAAAAAAAAAAAAAAAGAATCTTGTTAGGCTTAATCTTTCATGGACTCCTTCCTCATGAGTGCCTTGTATACTTAAAGTAAATAGTACATGGCCAAGGCAACTTAAATTCTATTTTTGCGTGAATAAGGTTTTATTGAAATAGTTTTGCCCATTGGTTATACATTGTCTGTGGCTAATTATGAGTTATAGTGAAATTGCAACTGAAGCCGTGAGTAGTTGTGACAGACTATCTGATCCATAAAGCCTAACATTTTTATGATCTGGTATGGTAGCTCCAAGCTCAGGACTTTTGGAATCTCCTGGTTCCACCTCTGGGAAAAAAGTCAACCCATGAATGAATGTGTATTGTCTGTAAGCATAAACCAACTTCACTATTTTGTTATACTTAATTTTTAAGAGGAAACCTGTATCAGTATTTCTAAACTATCAACAATGAGGAAATGAAGTATAAGCAGAAATAATTTGTACGTTGTTGAGCTCCCTTTATATAATCAATGTTTGATATTTAAACAAAGTTCAAACCTTATTAAGCAAACACTTTTATATATACCGCCTCCTTATTTGTATCTTTTGTTGTTTTTGTTTGATTTTCATAAATTCTGCTTGGATAACTTTATCTTCTGCTCCTGTTGCCTCAGCTTTCTTCAGATGAGCCGATGTTTGATCATATTCTTTTCATCCTAACTATTCTTGAGTTCTGTCATACAATGGTTTGGTATTTGATGGGTCCATTTCAAGGACCTTCAGTTAACTGAACTGCTCTCTGCCAATATGACATCTTCACTTTTAAAGCACCAATACTCAGTACACAGCATAGATCCAAACGTTATAAAATGAGGACCATCTGTGCATGCAATTTTAAATAATTCCAGATACTCTAAAAGAGGATTAGGACAAACGTCTGAATTTTCATAGTGTTGATAATTCTCTAGTAAAACGTGTCTCCAGTTTCCACCTGTAAGTTTAGCTTGCCTATTCATTCAGCTTAAAACTGTGGACCTCCAAAAAAGCGTCTGCAAAATAAAACTTTCAGACTACACGTCCTTATGCTGTTTAGGGCCAGGATTTAACTTGTTTTGGTTAGCACATGAAGAAATGGGTTTCATTCTGTCATTTTCACAAACACAATCTGAGGAAGGGATTTACGAACTGATTTTACGAGATGCGAGAAGGGTTTCTAAAACCGTTGGGACGGAATAGAAAAGACTGCCCAACCGAGGGAGAAGAGAGACAAAGTGCTCTGCTGAGCCTTTCGGTGGTCCACAGTGTGCGGCTTCCACTGTCGCCCCAACCAGACACCTGTGGGAGGTCGGCCCGAGTTGACTTCGCGCCTCCCGCCAACTGCTTCCGGGTCGCGGCGAGTGTCGCTTCCGGAGCAGCATGGCGGCCACGGAGGACGAGAAGCTGGTGGGGAGCGGAGAGGGAGAGCGGCTGGATTTCCTGCGGGACCGGCACGTGCGGTTCTTCCAGCGCTGCCTCCAGGTCTTGCCGGAGCGGTATTCTTCGCTGGAGACCAGCAGGTAACTCGAGGCTGCCGCGGCGGGGCTGGCGATGGCGGCTCCCCGGATGCGCGCCGCGGACCGGCCACACAGCCGGGACCCGCGGGGCTGCGCTGCCGCCGGGCCGGCCTTAACCCCGAACCTGGCCTTGACCTGCCTGCCCTGGGGCCCCCGGCTCCCCTCCACTCTGCACTTCCTAGGGCCTCTCCTGACATCGCCACCGGCTGCGGGCACCTACTCCTCGCGCCCAGGGAGATGTGTGGAGCTCCAAGCTCAGGACTTTGGGAACCTCCTGGTTCCGCCTCTTTTCACTTCCCAATCATTTTCTGTGAGCTTCCTTTTTCCACTCCCTTCACATCCTGTTAGTCACTTTGGTTTCTCTACTTTTACAAAAACCGAGTACAAAGCGTTTATCCATCATCGCTTCTGTACAGCCCTTCCCCCCTAATTAACTCTCAGTTGAAAGGCAGGGAAACACTCTACTAAGATGTGATTAGAAGTTTGCTCGTGAGGAATTGTAAATCAAATGGTAGGACTAAAGGGTTCAGTGTTGCATGAAGCACGGTAAGGCTGGAATTGGCAAATGTTTGACATCTGGCCAAGGTTAAGGAACTGTTATAGAAGTTGATCAGAGAAAACAAAAGGAAGACATGTTTGCTGTGCACTGCCTTGTTTGGATCGAGGCTTCAGAGCTACCTAGGGTTGGATGATAAGAAACACTGGTTTTTGTTTTATTTTAGACAAGATCTCGCCATGTAGGCCTAGCTGGTTTGGAACTCACTGTGTAGACCAGACTGGTCAGAGGTCCTCCTGTCTCTGCTTCCCAAGTGCTGGTATTAAAGACATGAGCCACCACACCCAGCACAGCAGTTTGGCCCTGGTACCCCACATTTTCTTAATTAGGAGCTCCCAGTGTATTTTGAACACTTGATGACTGGTTCAGTTTGGAGATTTTTGTGGATGACTTCTACAAATGTGATCAAGAAATACTTAACTGGTAGATGCGAAAATACAGCCAAAGAAGGCAGGCAAGCACTTTGAGTAGAATTCAGTGCTGTCTATATGCAGACCTTCTGAGGTAAATAGCAAGGACATGCACTGTAATCAGGTTTCTGTAGAGAAGCCTTCCTTGACTACCACCTGTATGTACTGGTTTGTTTAATAACTTTCTGTCACATAGAATTCTGTCTCGTGTATCGCATTGGAGCTGCCATCTTTGGTTTGATTGTCAATAGTCACATTTTGCTATTTTAATTTGAAGTAATTAGATCTGATTTAAAATTCAGCTCTTCTTTTACAATAGCCAACACGTTTCAAGTTCTTGACCACATTTTAGCCACGGACTGTTGTTGCTCTTCACATTTGCATCATTTTACTGTTGCAGTAGGACCTTAAGCAGCAGCTGGCATGTAGAAGGCATAACAGTATTGGCATAACAGATATTTGTCAGACAGTGGGAACTGAGCCCTAAAGGATGAACAGAATTTTTTAAAGCATTTACATTTTTAAATTTAACGTGTCTGAGTATTTTGCCTGCATTGTGCCACGTGCCTGTGGACACCAGAAAAGGTCCTGGAACTAGAGTTAGAGATGTGAACCACCATGTGGGTGCAGGGTCTTGAATCCTAGTCCTCTGGAAGAGCAGCTCCAAGATAAACAGAATCTTTAAAAAGACACAGTGAAATATTGTTTATTCTCTTTCCTTTATCCATAGATATTGATTCACCAGCATGAGTTGCTACTCTTCATGTACTACATGCCTACACTTCAAAGTACTGTTTCCAGGGATAGGAATGTAGCTCAGTGGTAGAGCAACTTCCTAGCATGCTGCAGGCCATACGTTAATTCCAGCATTAAAAAAAAAAAAGCCCAAAATTTGCACCATTGATAAAGTGAAGAAATGTTTAACCTGGCTATCAGTAAAGATTTATGATTGCATTTTCAAAATCCCATTGTGTATGATGTGTAAAATTAGAGTAGTGCATGTTGGCACTACAAAATATGATTTCTGCTCATAACCTAACAGTAAAAATTGTCTAAACTCATAAGTCACTAAATAACGCTAGTATAATCATAGCATTCCACACCAACCATTATATATTAGAACATATGTAGCTTCTCAGTGTATTGGTGGAGAGATGCTGTCTTCACCCCTAGGTCTAGTGCATTGCACTTGCATAGAACTTTTGAAGATTTATTATTTATGTGTGTATATTTGTGTGTCTATGTAAATATATATGCATGTGTATGCAAATGCCTGTGGAGGCCAGAAGAGGGTATTAGATCCCCTGGAGCTGGAGTTACAGGTGGTTGAGAGCTGCCCAGTGTGAGTACTGGGATCTGAACTCAGGTCCAATGCAAGAACAGCAAGTGTGCTTAGCTGTTGAGCCATCTCTCCAGCCCTTCCTATAGAACTTTTAAAAAATAATTTTTAATTTTCTTGAGGTTCATTAATAACCTCATTTAAAAGATAACAATGCATTGGGTCTGTAGTGTTTTGTTTTTCCTTCTTTTGTCTCTATTTCACTTTGGTTTTGAGTTTATTTTTTGTGGTTCATATTGATTTTAAGTTGCTTATGTTCTTCTTACTGACAAATACAAAGCAGCCGAGGTTGCTTGCTTATTTATAGAAGCAAAATCTCACTGTGTAGTCCATGATGGCCTTAAGCTCACAAGCTGCTTTTTCCTCTTGAGTACTGAGATTACAGGTGTGTGCAACCACACTGGTCAAAACAGCTAACTCTTGGGCTAATGTTAGATTGTATGTTTAGACACCTAGTAATAGTTTTTGACACACCGTTTTTATAAAATCACTCCATTTCTGTTTCTTGTACTGCGATAATTAGGGATTGTGAAGCAAAGTTCTTGGAAACAACCACACCTTCCACTGAACCTTCCCCGAGGCTGGCTAACTTCTATGTGTGTGTGGGGGGGAGTGGGGGTGGTTTAGAATGTTGCAGGTCTAGAACCAGTTGCAATATATCTTGGGCTGTCCTCAGTCCCTAATGGGCCACCTCTGTATCTGGCCTAACATCCTTGTTACTAATAGATAAAAAACAACATTAGAAATGTATTAACAGACTTCCACCAACCAGAAGACCAAGAATTTCAGAAAATAAATGAGAGGCCTGTAGCAGAGATTCCACCCTTTTGCCTTAATCTTTAACATTTACCTAATACTTCCACCATTTATTGAAAAGTGATTTAATTTATGACTTTCTTTGTTCTATTGCTTTAAAAACTTTAAACTCGATAACTACATTGGAATACAGAATTTGGGGTAACCTAAATCTCTGTTCCTGGGCCATGATCATTCACACTTGGCTCTAGAATAAACTATGTCTTAACCCCTGTAAGATGAGAGTTGTGATTTTTATGTTCACAGAATAAATCATTTTTTCTTTTTCAAATGGCACTGGCATCATGAAAATAAGTGTATTATTTACTGTTTTACCAAAGAGCTGTGTTTTTATAACAAAAACAGAATTTTCAAAAACCGTTTTTGGCAGTGATAAAGAGAATTTGGTTATACTGATAAAGAGAATTTGGTTATACTGATGTGAGACAAGTAAGTAGTTGTTGTGAGGGAAGTAGTAATGGTCTGACAGTATTTTGGAAACTGCTCTGTGTGAGCTGACCAGGTTCCGAGGCTTTGAGACCCTTGCTTTGCACCTTTCTAGAATAACCACTTCCGACCCAGACTTCCAAGTGTCTTCAACAATGAAGACATCTTTGTGTAGATTTTAGGTAGGGCTCTCTATAAATCAAGTTGCATTCTTATAAAATGTTAAACCAGCAGCTGCAGGAAGAACTAGATGGCACTGGAGAGATGGACCCACAGTTAAGAGTGTGTACTGTTCAGTTCCCAGCATCCACAGTGGTTCACTTACGACTGCCTGCAACCCCACCTTCATGGAATCTAATAACTTCGGCTCCCCTCCCCAGGCATCCGCACTCCTGTGCACAAACCCACATACCCACATATACGGGCACACACATAACCCTTGTTTACCTCTAGCTGGTGGTGGGACCTGAGAGAATGGAGCCCATAAATGAGGCAGACTAAAGTTTTATGCAATAGCCAACTTTGTTCTAAGATGAGTAAAGTATCCAATCACAAGAGGAAGCTGCTTGGGACAGGCAGCTGCAAGTGAGAACATGTTTTTCCATAGAGGCATATAAACAATAACAATAGCCAGTCGTAATAGATGATCTGAAGTCAACTCACTCCTGTCCACTATACCTTGGAAGGACATAAAACATAATCCAAAAACAATTCTGTGTTTTTGAAGAAACTGAGATCACAAGACTCTTAACCTTGTTTTCTTGGAGTTTTCTCACAAGCACTCAGAACTCTCCTCACATGACTCTATTCTTGGACCCCTAATTAAACATAAAAACCTTAATTCTAACACCCCTAATTAAAAATAAGAAAGTAAATCTAACAGTACATATATGTGAGCACAGGCACACACACATAGAGACATGAACACACAACAAACACATACGGCTTTCAGCCTTCAAGTGGCTCCCATGCAATTTTCAGTGTGTTCTTGTACCCCACAGGTGAGTAGGGTGCATGATTCCGAAAGTCCCTTTCTTAACAATTAAAAGAAGGGGTTGACTGGTACTATTCACTTACTAAGAATAAATTGTGAAGTTTTTGTTTTGTGTGTTTTCTTATTTGACAAGGTAGAGGGATGACATGTAAATTATTTTAAAAGTAGAATGAAGGTTTTTAGTTGGTTTGGTTTTTGTTATTTTTCCCTTTGGTGTTTTGTTTTGGGTTTAAGCCAGAAATAGTTCACTGGTTTGATAGTTAAGGTGATATTTTACTTTTTTTTTTTTTTCCCTTTAGGTTGACAATTGCATTCTTTGCACTCTCGGGGCTGGATATGTTGGATTCCTTAGATGTGGTGAACAAAGATGATATAATAGAGTGGATTTATTCCTTGCAGGTCCTTCCCACAGAAGACAGTGAGTGAGTTTTTAGCATTTTATTTTTAGTACGATTAGCTGTT